TTCGAAATAGGTAACCGTGCCGCCCCCGCCTTTTGTGGACCCGTTGATATACCACCTTCCAGTAAAACGTCTGGTGCGTCAACCTCTAAGGTCAATACGTCTAAAATTGTCATTGCGGTGTTCCTAGCCCTTGTTACTAACCCTTCAGCTTGTAAGTAGTTGGTCTTTTATAACCACTGTTCGGTATTTTCGGTGTATTTTGCCGCACATGAATTCACCCATGCAGTCTGAAATATCTAAAGCCTCTGAGGTAGCATATGGCGTGTGCAGAATCTGAGAACCTGGGTTGTGTTCGGAGCTTTTATTCATAGCACACTTGTAATCGCTCCGCTTTTTTGATTTGGACTCTAGCTTCTATTTCGGTTTTTCTTCTCGTATGTCATTCAGTATCAGAAAATAACGACTGACCTGACTTCCTCCAAGAATATTTAATCTCGACCATAGGTACAACGGCACCGAAAAAGTCCCTTCCAATCCGCCATTCATAAAATTCGGCAGCAAAATTTCAACTGCTTTTAGATTTTGGGTTAAGTGGATAATGAAAAACTGCGTAGACCGCTTAACACTAATATGGATAACAATTCACCAAAATGTGAGCAGTGCGACTGAGTGTTTTCTCTCCCCGACTTCATTAGCATTTAATTAGACGTTCTCCTCTCTATAGCAGCCATTTTTAAGTCATACATCTATGTCTTGGCATAGGCCAAAAGTCGTTAGCAGAAAGATGAGGTCAATGTCCAAACACCCCGGGCCCTTCTGGCCTGGAGCTTTTTAACGGTCGACTGACGACGGAAAATAAGTCATTCGGATCTCCTGTTTTTTCTTTTATCGGTAACATTTATTCACCATTTTATTGTTTGAGCAAGTTATTTGGACTTATACCCGCGGCCTCTTTCTTGCTCACTTAAGGGAGCACATACCGGACGTGGACAATTGGCCGCTCCGCTTTACTGAGCTCCATCAGGATTTTAACTGGATCATACCAATGAATTCCGCCCCCGCAGTACCGTCACGCCCCTCTCCACTCTCTCTGCCTGACGGTCCTGCTCGGTCTGCTGGCGCGGCTTCCACTCTCCTGCGATCGGATTCTGTTCCTCTCTCAACATCATGGTAGGGGACTTCCGCTGTTGTTTATTGCAATTTCTTTTCCTCATCTCATCGTTCTGACATGACATTTACGTTGAATCCTTCTTACCTTGCTTCTCAATTGACATTGTTTTACCTTAACGATCTGGTGCATCGCCTTCTGGACGAATCTACTTTATTTGAGGTTTACTCTACTGTTTAGCCAGTCTTAGTACACAACACACGTTCAGTAGTTTTCCCGAATCTTACCTAGTCGACTGCATGCTTGCATAAGATGCATCTATGTGCAGATCTCGTTTTAGCCCAGTGACGATATTCGATGGATACTCTTCACTTACTCAATCAGTTTAGCTTTGTCGCACATCAATATTATTTTGGGATTTTGATTACGACGAGGTTTAGATCGTTTTTGAAATGATGATTAACGCTTTACGATCTTCACTGGCTTCACTCAATTGGCCATAAATAAGGATTATATTCTACGTGCTTACCAAAACCTTCAAAATAATATATTTCTTAAAAGTATTTACCTAAGTAACGAGTTGTTAAACTTTCTTACGTAGCTGCCTGTTTGGGTCATAGTTTTAGAATCGCCCAAACATGTCAACTCTTTGACGAGAAAAATAAGCGTCTACAGCTAAAGTCACGAATGAATATGCCTAAGAATAATTAAAAAGTTTTATATATCATGTTACCTCCTGAAAAAGCGCTTTAGTTAGGTAATTATTTGGATATCAACAAATGTTGGATTTGACCCCACTGCGCCCTTATTTGCCCCCAGTACTGAACTGAATTATTTTCTAGTAAACAGCATTTTGGCACCTCAGATTAACTCAATGAACGAACTAAACAATCTGAAATGTGTGTTAACTTCCCCACTTAATTTTTGATCTTCTCATTTCATCAGATATACAATCTACCGTAGAGTAAAATACTACGAGGAATAATAAGGATTAATTGAATGCGATGGCGGCAATTCAGATGGAAAGGAAAAATGTCCTCTTTCTCAACTTAACTCAATAAGTGTCCCAGGTTGTGTTAAAGCCGCGATAAAACTTAGAGCCTCTCTATCTGCCGTGGCTATATATGAAACTTAAAATATGGATGATTGGCGTACATACATTCATTCTGTTCTGTTTTAATTAGGCTGCCGTACCGATCATCACTGAAAATAAATCTGTCCCCCTGCAATCGAAATGTGTTGCTTTGTATTAATGAAATTGCCACAAGCCTTTGTAATCGACTCGCATGTACTAAAATCATGTCCTCTAGTCATTCTAATTGCACTATTCTATAGAAGCAGACTGACAAAGTCCCACGTGTTGTTTTAACCCTATCGAACTGAAAAAATGGCTTATTACTTAGCGTTTGTTATTTCCCCCTATCCTTCCATGGTGTACTTGGGTTCGAAGTAACGTTCTCATTTGTAGAAAAAAGTACGAATGCTGCGCCTGACCTAGGTACAGTTTTTGCTTTAACTTGCGTATTTCCCCCAAGACACCCGGTCGCTCAATCTTTTATGAGTCCAAAGTAATTAATTGAGAAAATACCATGCACGTCGCTAGGTAATCTCGAGTCCATTCATATATACGTCTAGACGCGGCTAGTGCTTTCCCCAACTCGCCTAATTTACTTTTTACCTTCTGAGACAGAATGCGGTATCAGTAAGAGTTCTGCTTTGGACCTGGTAGGCAGGTGTGGTCTTCAAATAATCTTTTTTTTTCTATCTTCAGTTCGCCAGTCGATACGGATACTGCCAGCGCCACTGATCCGACCTTTCAACCCGCCGTCCGTTCCTGTCACCGACTTTATTTCCTGCTTTCACATCTCCTTTGGGTGGCTCGGGAATTGCCTCCTTGCTTGGCCCAGTCTTGCGTTCTGCAGTGGTGTGTCCTTATCTCCGTTCTGCTCCTGGACCGGCAAATGCTTTTCAAATCCCTTTCTCTACTCACGCCATCAGTACGCGATGTGCGAGAACTCGCCGGATTACTAAAACACCAGAGCACACTGACTCAACTACAGCTTTCTGAAGACACGCCTCTGTTGCGTCTTTTATGTGGTCTCGAAACGATTAGGCAGTGGGCCGTTGAAGCTGCTCCCACCTTCGCTTCGTTCCTTTGTGATCTGCAGCCAAAGATGACGTGAGTTCTTTCACTCTGCTGGGGCCCGACACACCGCGTTTACTATGCCAATGACGAACGGCTATTCTGCAAATATTCCCATTTTACGATTGAGAATTCATGTTGGCAAACATATGTTTTCGACAATTCATCATCGGGCCAGCTAAGCCACAGGTTTCCGTATTGGTTTTGGCTATGGAGCAAGTGCTTAGCGAGACGCATTCTTTCAGGTTATACCTGCGTATATTAATCGTTTATTAGTCATGTCTTCGAACCATTCTTTCGCGGGCGAAATTAACTATATCGAACAACTTAAGATTTTGACTTTTAGCCATGCTTCCCGATGACAATAATATATGCTGTTTATAGTTTTAAACAAGTTTAAAAAAAACATTTTCTGAGAAGATACAGCAGTTTGGAAATTCCAAAAACTTAAAAAACACGTACAGAAATATCCAAACTTCTAAACCGTCTCATGTCTTCGGACGCTATGTTTAAAAAATATCTTCCATAAGTTTTGACATATGTATGTCCACGAAGAATTTCGAAATATGCAGAAACTGTCTCAACTACATCGACTAAAGTCTAAACTAATGTCATTCACTGAATTTAAAACGAAAAATTGGGGGCAGAATTACCTTGGTCAGAAATAAATATTTTTTTAAGAAATACGAATATGTTGAAATGTTGAATATTTTATCAAACGAGCAAACTTTATTTGCACAAATTCCTAAAACTGGTCCATGCAAACAACAGACTATGTAAAACTCCATAAACAAAATAACCTTCACGAATCTTGTGATTTTCATGGCAAGTTTCCTTAAAAAATTAATGTACTATTCAGTATAGCGGTTGACTACGACGAAGAGGACTTAGCTTAAATTGATAGATGTACATAAATCACCGCAAATCCGTAACTGTTAGGCTAATAAGTAAACTGTACATCTCCCGATGTACTTAGAAATCGTCATCTAGAACTTAGCCATAATTTTTTATGCTTTTTTCACCTACTTTGGTTCCCAGCAAAGTCGCTGTAAAACGTGCGCTTTTAGTATTCGTTCTTAATAATAAAAAACAACTGACAGTATTTAAGTATTTGAGCCCAACTGAAAAAAAAGCCAAACTACCTATGTAGTTTGTTTTTGGAGTGATATAAGCAGTGGCGGCTCTGATAATGGTGAATTGAATACCAGGAATTGAATGCAGGTATGGATTAACCTCAATTGCGATCCATGTTTGCCGGTTTCACACCCCCACCTTAATATTAATTCACAGTTTTTTGCATATTTTTTGCCAATGTTTCGTGATCTCCATTTGTATTGCATTGATCGAATGCATCACCAAACAGAGGCTTATACAAACTCTAGCTAGATCATTCTTTTGCTTAGTAGATGGTCGACTGAGGATATCTCTTGAGCAGAAATTGACGCGCGTATTTGCGCGCAAATTCTACTATACTTTCAGGTGTCCTCATGTATTACACGCATTAATTAAATCTGTAAGCAGGGTTTTTGGCTCCAAATGTGTTGTAACGGATGCCCAGGTCGAGATATCACCGCCAATAACGCCTTGTGTGAGTCCCCAAAGAAAGAACACGACAAAAAGTGTGCAACAGTAGAAGTCTTTAAGGGATAAAGGTACAAAAAAATTAGGGCAACGAACGTGTGTAAGATAGGTCCACGAACCAATAGGTTTCTCCTCTGTACTAGTCACCGGTGCGATTGCCTGGGACTCAGAGGCTGACATTCAACTTGAATTTGGAATTATCGATTGATTGACGGCTTGTGTACGTTCGCCTGTGTAGGCCGATCGATAGCCAGCTTTGAGTGCGGCTATTGCTTGCAGGCTAAATGCTTGTTAAGGCTGTTCGTCAGGTCGTCCTACCAAAATGATATTCATCACTCTATCAACAGCACATTTACCAATGAACTTCTTGGAAAACATCGGTACCACCAACTAGCAGAGGAGCCTGGACAGGAAGTACAAAAGAGCACGAGGGAAGTGGC